ACCAGAGGCCAGGCCAGCATCCTGAATCCCAGGTAAGACTGCCCCCCACCCTGTCCACCCACTCTTAAGAACCGTATTCCAATTGCCATTCCTCTCCTTGTCACCATATCCAGGCCCACTCCTCTGGTGGAAGGCTTCCATCCCATCAAAAGCCAAGCCAGCCTCTTAGAAACCAGGTAAGCCACCCCCATTTCCCTATCGATGAGTGCCCAACATCACCCCTACTTTCCCTTAATCCTAGTTACACCACCTGGCTCAATCCTCAGGCGGAAGCCCCTCTTTTACCAGATGCCAGGACAGCATCCTCAATAAGACTGCTCCTGACATTGTCTAATCCAGCCCTTCCTAGCTCTTATAGTCCCTCCTCTGATCACCAACATCCCTGTTCGCACCTAGGGAGGAAGCCTTCCTTTCCATCAGAGGCCAGGCCAGAATTCTGATAATGAATTATCTTTAGGCTTACTTCTGAAATTCTCTCTCTCTCTCTCTCTCTCTCTCTCTCTCTCTCTCTCTCTCTCTCTCTTTCTCTCTCTCTCTGTGTGTGTGTGGGCTTATTTTCCCAGAAACAGGAGATAATCTCTGGAGGAAAGCAAGCTGAGACTTAGAGCCTAGCTCTGTGACTTCTTGAATCAGCCCTGCTTGAGCCAGTGAAGCTTCCTGTGTTAGACCAGAAATAATAAGGAAAATGGTGTTCCTCATACATGCTAGACCCACAGGACATGAAGCCATCTGGTGGGACACTAAATTCCTCGGGAACCACTACAGGGAAGGATTTCCAACCTTCTTGTCTTCACATACCAGACCATGTGGGCGGCAGAGACCAAGGCTCTCACCTGCCCCTCCCCGACACATCACCAAGTGGTACCTGATAGAGCCAGCTGAATCTCAGAAGTTCACTTTTCAGGTCAGAGGAGCTGTGCCAGCAATTATTTACACACCCACGGATTTCTGCTCTTCTCGACCCTGTCCAAAAGGCTGCTTTTGCAGTGGGTCGTGGTGAATGCACAGTCTCTTCCCTGGTCAAACTGCATGTGTTTATCATTCACCTGTCCTGCCTGCCCCAGGGAGTCTATGGATTCCCCCTTTTAGTCCAGATACTATTTCTTCATACAGGTGTCTATAAAGAAAATCCTCAGCCATGAAGCACACTATTGTTACATCTGACTATATTAGTTCCAAGAATTTCTCCTGTGAACACAATACAGTACACAGCAGGTAAAATTCAAGAGACAAGACCCTGAAGGGAACACAGTTTAAATTAGATCAGCAGTTACAAAATGGGAACCAGAAGCTATGCAGCTTAGCAGTTCAGCTTGTACCAGGCCTTGCACAGAAGAGAGTAGTAAACTGAGCGCCAATCACCTTCAGATGGGAACATTCTTTGGATGTTTGGTGTACCTGATGCAAAAGGGTTTCTGTGTTGGTAGTGGAAAGGACACTTGCTACAGAAAACAAGCTGGGACATTCTGAGATCCTGTCTCTGATAACAACACCCCCTCCCTGTGACAAGAGCCCAGTTTGTCACTGTTTGTAAAGCTGGCTCTGGGTACAGTCACAGAGCAGACAGGCTTCTCATGATGAAGACACAAAAATGCTCATGATAACAATAAAATCCCTGGAAAGACCCTCTCGATGCGTTTACTGTAAAATGGTGGGTCACGGTCACCGAGCCCTACGCCCATGGCTGAATTCTCGTCAATGATGGTGAGGATTTACACTATATGGCCTTGAGAGGCTACATGGATGGGCCTGGCACATAAAATACAATGCAGAAGAAGGGAAGCGATCCACAGATAGAAACATGTGGTATGGTTTCCACTATATAGCTCCATATAAACTGCATTGTTTATGGAATTGCACCCTACAGCATTCCAAGCAGGGAGACCTGAGGAGCTGGCTGCACTTTCCAGATTTCATTATCAATTGCTTCAACTGCCAGGTTTCCCACCTGTAGGTGGAAGGGTGCCAGTGTGTTTTGGCCCGATTTCTTCTCCTGACTCCTGCACCAGGAGGACGAAAGACCACGTATGTGAAAAACTTAGACCCAGGACATGGCTCACAGTAACCAATGTTGCGGATTGTATGTGTGCACTTGTAGCAATCATCTACTCAGAAATGGTGTGTGTGTGTGATTGGAGCAGACATCTCCTCAAATGATGTGAGTGAGAGTGTGTCGGTGTGTCTGTGTGCTTGGAGTGGGCATCTCCTTAGAAATGGTGTGAGTGAATGTGTGTGTGTGTGTGTGTGTGTGTGTGTGTGTGTGTGTGTGTCTGTGCTTGGAGCGGGCATTTCCAGCAGAAATTGTAGCAGCCTTGAGGTAGTCCATTTCCTGCGGGTAATACAGTTTATCCTGTCTGAAGTTTTCTCCTCGGCCCAGCAGCACACAACTTCCAAGGCAGGAGAAGCGCCAGGGAAGAGGCTGAGCTCCGGGAGGGGCCACAAGATGCCGACCTGCCGCCCACTGGGAGGTAGGGGTTCAGGTCGCCCTCCCTGGCTGGGTGTGTGGGAGCCTCAGCAGCCTCCTGGAGGAACTGTCATTCTCCCCGCACTTTGGAAGACCTCGGTTACTTTGTAAGCCAAGAGTGGAAGTTATTTCCCCGCGCCAGACTCTGCCTCTGGGCCGTCCCTGGTGCTCCAGAGACACGGTACCAGAATATTTAAATCACTGTGGCGTTAAATACGTTTTAATATCTGATAGGGCCAGTTTCTGCGCATTGCACTTTTTTTTTCCTTTCAGGAACGTGTTCGGGCCCGCGGCAGGGGGCGGGGTCGCGCCTCCGCCTCGGCTCTGGTTCCAGCCGAGCCTCACCGACGCAGAGATGGAAATCCCGAGGCTGCTCCCGGCTCGCGGGACACCACAGGGCGGCGGCGGCGGCGGCTGCTGCCCCGCGGGTGGCGGCGGGGTGCCCCGAGCCCCGGAGTCTCTGGCTTGTCAGGCCCCCACGCGCCGCCTCCTCCTGCTCCGGGGGGCCCAAGATGGCGGGCCGGGGCCGCGGAGCGCAGAGGCCCAGAGGGCCTCACGGGGCCTGGGCCCGAGCCCTAGCGCGAACCGCTTGGCGCCGAGGCCGGATCCCAGGAGCCGCGGCGGCGGCGGCGGCAGAGGGGGCAGAGGCGGCGGCGGCGGCGGCGGCGGCGACGACTTCTTCCTGTTGCTGCTCGACCCGGTGGGTGGCGACGTAGAAACGGCGGGCGCGGAGCAGGCCGGAGGGCCGGTGCGGAGGGAGGAGGCCGGGACAGGCCCGGGGCCAGAGCGGCGCGCGAGCGGCGCGGCGAACCCCGCGGGCCGGCCCGAGCCGGGGCCCCGGCGCCCGTCGGCCGCGCCGGCTCCGTCGCCGCTCCCCGCGGCGGGCCCGGGCTCGGGCCCGGGCCCCGGCCCCGGCCCCGCGGCGGCCTTCGCGGGCACCATCACCATCCACAACCAGGACTTGCTGCTGCGCTTCGAGAACGGCTTCCTCACCCTGACCACGCCCCCGCTGCCCGCCTGGGAGCCGGGGGTCGCGCCGGTCCCGCAGCCGCAGCCCGGGGTCCCCGGAGGCCCCGGCGGCCCGGACGGCCCGCAGGCCGGCTGCCCGCCCGCCGCCGCGGCCGCCGCCGCCGCCGCCGCCACGGCCGCCGGCTCCTCGCAGCTGGGCGACTGCCCCGAGCTGCCACCCGACCTCCTGCTGGCCGAGCCGGCGGAACCCGCGCCCGCGCTGGCGCCTCCGGAGGAGGAGGCCGAGGCCCCGGCCTCCGCCCAGAGCCCCCGCGGGCCTCTCGGCCCGGGCCAGGGCCAGGGCCCGGGCCCGGGCGTGCTGCTCTACCTGTGCCCGGAGGCGCAGTGCGGCCAGACCTTCGCCAAGAAGCACCAGCTGAAGGTGCACCTGCTGACGCACAGCAGCAGCCAGGGCCAGCGGCCCTTCAAGTGCCCCCTGGGCGGCTGCGGCTGGACCTTCACCACCTCCTACAAGCTCAAGAGGCACCTGCAGTCGCACGACAAGCTGCGGCCATTCGGCTGCCCGGTGGAGGGCTGCGGCAAGAGCTTCACCACCGTGTACAACCTCAAGGCGCACATGAAGGGGCACGAGCAGGAGAACTCCTTCAAGTGCGAGGTGTGCGAGGAGAGCTTCCCCACGCAGGCCAAGCTCAGCAGCCACCAGCGCAGCCACTTCGAGCCCGAGCGGCCTTACCAGTGCGCCTTCTCCGGCTGCAAGAAGACCTTCATTACCGTGAGTGCCCTGTTCTCTCACAACCGCGCCCATTTCAGGGAACAGGAACTCTTCGCCTGCTCCTTCCCCGGCTGCAGCAAGCAGTACGACAAGGCTTGCCGCCTCAAGATTCACCTGCGCAGCCACACGGGAGAGCGGCCTTTCCTTTGCGACTTTGACGGCTGTGGCTGGAACTTCACCAGCATGTCCAAACTCCTGCGACACAAGAGGAAGCACGAAGACGACCGCAGGTTCACCTGTCCCGTGGAGGGCTGCGGCAAGTCCTTCACCAGGGCCGAACACCTCAAGGGCCACAGCATCACCCACCTGGGCACGAAGCCCTTCGTGTGCCCCGTCGAAGGCTGCTGTGCCAGGTTCTCTGCCCGCAGCAGCCTCTACATCCACTCCAAGAAGCACTTGCAGGACGTGGGCACCTGGAAGAACCGATGCCCGGTCTCCACCTGCAACAAACTCTTCACGTCCAAGCACAGCATGAAGACCCACATGGCCAAGAGGCACAACCTCAGCCAGGACCTCTTGGGCCAGCTCGAAGCCGCCAACTCTCTCACGCCCAGCAGTGAACTGGCCAGCCAGGGGCAGAGCGATCTCAGCAGCCCCGAGCTGGTGTCTCTCTTCTCGGATGTGCCCGGCCACAGTTCTGCCGCGGCGCTGGACACGGCCCTGGTCAACTCTGGCATCTTGACGATTGACGTGGCCTCTGTCAACTCCACTCTCGCAGGAGGTCTCCCTGCCGAGAACAGTGACCATTCCTTAGGGCCAGCGGCGGACCCCCGGGCCCTGAGGGCCCCCAGTGACCTTCCCCAGGGACTGGATACCTCTCTCTTCTTCGGAACCTCCTCGGTGGCCGCTTATCAGCAGAGCCCCTTAGACATGGACGATGTCCCCGGGGGAAGCGTGGGGGGGCTCTTTGGCTCCCTGGCCCTGAAAAACTCAAGCCTGGAGCCCCAAGCTTTGACACCCAGCAATAAGTTAACCGTGGACACGGAAGCTCTGACTCCCTCCAGCACGCTTTGTGAAAACAGTGTCTCGGAACTGCTGACCCCTGCCAAAGCCGACTGGAACGTGCATCCCGACTCTGACTTCTTTGCCCACGAGGAAGAGACCCAGTTTGGATTCTCCAACCCAATGGGAAGCCACGGTTCTCAGAAAGAAACAGATCTCATCACGGTGACTGGCACCCCGTTTTTGGTATGAACCTACTCTGCCCAGCCCAGCCCAGCCCTGCCCTGCCCTGCCCTGCCCTGCCCTGTCGTGCCCTGCCGTGCGGCTCACTTTCATCACACTCTGGTCTGAGGATCTTCTGGAAGGAGTGCTTCCGTGCAGTCGTTTCTTGCTGCTTTGCAGAGGAACGCGTCTGTGGACTACAA